GTGATTCCGCTAAGAAACTCGATACGCCAGGTTGCCAAGGGATGCGGAGGGATAACGCGGACGCGGCGCGAGGGTGGTAGTTTGCGAGCCCGTAACTCGGTCACCCCGTTTCCAATTGACCGGCTTCCTCTCTCTCGCGGCGTAGCCTGCAGTTCGACTGCATTGTACGAACTTCCTGCAGATTTTAGCTGTCACCGGCGTTTCATATTTTAAACGGTTCCGGGACAGGAGGGGGGGGGGAGAGAAGGTGGAGGAGGGAAGAGGTGGGAAAGGGAGGACCGGTCCGTGTCGCTCCGGGACGATCGACGTGGACACGGAAAGCGGACCGCGAGCGCGCAAACCCTGCGTATAAATATGTATATTCGAAGTATACACATAGGGCATAGGGCCGGGGCGCGCGGACCTATGTCAAACCGGCCAACCACCGCGCGCTGCAGCTTCGCGGATTCGTAACGGGGGGAGCTTCAGAAGGGACCGCTTAATCGGCGGTCGTTGCTGCCGCATCGGATTTTGATTAGCGCGACCGCGTCACGTTTGTCCGTTCGTTTGTCGACGGATAAAAAAATGCATCGCACACGCCACGGCGCATTAACTCATACGCGCGCGCGCACGTGCATACATATGTACATACATTCCCTTGTCAGTCTGAGTTCATTTAACATTTTCCGCGTTCGCGTGGCACGGGCTCCCTCCGCTTTTGCCGCTGGTGATTTTTTAATCTCTGCTAATATATATATATATATTGTATATATACATATACATTCTATTCAAATAAATCATGCCGTCCGTGTTCCCGAATAGATATTCTCTGTACGTCACTATACTCGAATTTGTCACTCGAGCGCTGTTGCTTAATCAATTGCTGCTTTCTACCCTTGTACTGCTCTAGCTACTGGATTATCTTTTCGTGCGACGAGTTCTGAACATCAAAGTATCCGTGTGCTCTTTATGCATAGATTAGTTTTGTGACTTTTAAAACGATGATATTATACATGCACGCCTGCATATACA